CTTTCGCGGCCACGAGCCTGTGTCATAACCGAGGTCACGATCTGATTATAGGGCAGTAAAAAGTCGAGGAAAAAAAAAAAGCTCTCGCAGCAGTGAGAGATTATTAGGAGTTAGTTCCCCTCACATCTGTGAGGTAGACTCGACAAGTGTAATAGTTAGCTTGCCTAATCAGTGCTTGAGACTGATTATAACTGTGACCCGAGAGGGGTGAACAGGGTATATGTGGCAATGAAACAGTTTAGACTGCTATGCACATCGTCAAGCCGCTACCTTTTTGGCCTAAGTCATTTTTGCCAGTTTCGAGATAATCAATAAAAACTGTCTAAGTCGCAAGAAAACACACTTTGGCAAACAAAACTTTCCTCAACGAGTGAGGGTTCAGTGCTGGTGAAGTTTATATAATTTTTTAAAATGAAAATGTGAAATTATGGGATATATAGGACTTAGGCCATTTCGAGACCACGCTCTTAGACTTAGGCCAAAATGCGAAATGACTTAGGCCAAAACGGCCCCCGAGTTTTTACCGTCAACGGTGACTTAGGCCAAAATGTGGATCAATTTAGATCTATATTTATGTATATTATTATTGTTACGTTGAGTTATCCATGCCATATTTCTTCAGAAGAAGCTTTGAGCTGATCAAAAGCTTGTAAAAATTTGTAAAGTCCGTGCCGGCTTTAAACACACCGGCATAAAACACGCTAAACAGCTCATACCGAATTTTGGGATATTATTACACGCCTTTAAGCACAGTAACTTCGGCTTCAGGCACGCTTCATTTACAAGACAGTCAATACTTTCACGATGACCCATCGAAGTTCAAACACAGTCTACACCGCAGCAGTGAATGTGTTAAGAGAAACACAAAGAACGCAAATGATGGAGACACACATTCACACACACAAATGACGCGTGCGGAGAGGAAGACAGAGTTGCACACAGCCACGCGCGTGGACATAGGATCTAGATCTAGCATAGGGCAAAGCTTCACAGACTTAAAAAAAAGTACAAAGAGAGTCCGGGAGACGAGAACTCAGAAAAGGAGGCTGGCTGCGATTTCACCTATTGCCCCTCGCTATCCGATAACGAGATAACCCTGATTATGTATCACGCGCCAGGTGGGATGAAGGCTGTGGTATGAATGTGGCACAGCGGGCAGTGGTACGCACAGGCAGTGTGTAGGGTAGGCCTAGTGTGCTGTATCGTGACTGGCCGTCTAAATCAAGTTTTCATTTCCCATTCGACCACAAAACAAAAACAAACCAACCAAACAAACAAAAACGACCATGGCGGGTAAAAATAACAGCACAAACTTTTGTGCGACCACTACTTACAAACAAAGAGAAATAGTACAAGGAATTTTCAACACGAAAATCTCTGGATTATAATTATATCTACTTCGCACTCAAGCACGCTTCGGCATTAGGCACGCTTCTAAATGATTTCTCACGATGACCGTGCTTAAAGCCGACAAGGACTGTATAACATTGGTAGTCAAAGTTCAGGAATGATCAACACCTGGACACATCAATGTAGAGTCTACATTGAAGTCTAGAGATACGTCTGTGCAGAAAGAACAATACGATTTACTAACACTAACAGTAACAGCCAACAGCACGAGTTCAGTTGCTAAATAAAGGACATGGACACGATAACGGTCATTAGGTGCAAAGAAACAGCAAGACGACAGACAGATAAAACAATGAAAGAACAGAAGTAGAGCCTACCGCGCAGTAGCACCCTCCAACAACCTGCAAAACAGCAAGACGACAGACAGATATATTAAGTGTTAGGTCAGAAGTAGAACCTACCAGTAGCACCCACCAACCAAACAGCAAGACGACAGACAGATATTTAGTGTTAGATTAGAAGTAGAACCTACCAGTAGCACTCACCAACCAAACAGCAAGATGACAGACAGATAAAACATAATATTAGGAAAGAAGAACCTATCAGCAGCTGTAGTAGGCCTACTCAGCAACCTCCCCCACACAAGTACATTGTGTACATCTAGATCTACATGTTAAGGTACGTATTTCTCTACTATGGTAAAAAGAATAACACAAAATGCAAGAGTAAAGTAAAAAAGGACTCCAAAAAATATCTTTTATTATACATGAAGAATTAAAGCACAGAGTACAATAATTTGCACACAGTGTCAGGTACAAAGAAGCAAAGAATCAACATACATCATAATGCATTATCTCACAAGGTGAGCAGGGCCTCAAGAAATGTTTTGCGACAGCTGCCAATGATCACTGATGTGACCAACAATAAATAGGATAATAGTACCAGTAATAGACAAAGAGATAAAATTACTTTTCCTGACAGGGTAAATTGTTTTACGATGTCAAACATTTCACATTACATTCATGACACAACAAATACAATAATATTTTTTTTTAAGACAGCCATTCATAAACATGACAATCATTCATAGGTAGTATCGTGTCGATGTGCTTTCTTTATTAACTCAACTCAACGACAATTCAAACAAACTGAAATATTTGGGAGTTTTCTGCAAGCGCAAAGACCAGTGTGCTCAATGAAAACCAAAATGTTAAAATGCTCGTGGAAAATTAACCAAATAGGAAATAAGTATAACAATATCTATGGAAGCAAACCAAGAAACCCCACAGGCGGTGCTACTGACTGAAGTGTCTTTAGGCCATTCTCAAAGGGGGGACATTAATCTGTTCTTATGCACAGATGAATTGTAAATGGACTGATTCATCAATGTCAACTCATAAGTGTGCCTGAACTGCAACAGGGAACTGCTGCTTTTTCTTTCCTAATCCTTACTACCGTCATTTGCCTCTACTTCTTTTGTATGTTTGTCACACTCTTGCGACCCGCTATTTCCGGGGTGCCATGATAGTCGAAGCAAACTTAGTGCTGTTGAAGCTAGAGAGTAAGGCTGATTCCCTGTAAGGACTTCTCTGTTGACATCTACCCCTTGGCACTCACTAATGACTTTATGCATTTGCTAGCGCTGTAAAACCTCTACTAAAACAAGAGAAACAAGATAGGCATGGTTATAAACAAAGTACAAAAACAATCGGGCATGCTTTGCCACTCTGCGTCTCCAGGTGTGAGGGGCTGGTTTCCTTTTACCGCGGTTTGAAGGGAGAGGGTCATCTAAAGAAAAAGAGAAAGATAAAGAAAAATAAGCTCATGTGTAGCAATGCAGTTGAATTCATAAGGAAAACACTGACATAATAACAGTCATTCAGCGCCAGGAAAGAGCAAGACGACAGATAAAACAGAATCTTAGGAGAGAAGTAGAAGCTACCAGTGCTACCTGCTAACCACTTGTAGTGTAGCAAAGTAATTCATCTATAGAACTCACATTAGAACAGTTAAAGCTGCGGGAAAAACGTGTGGCATTTCTGTCATTATTAATAGGTTATCGAATACGTAACATCAATTAAGATTTAAAGAAAAGAAACATTTATCTGACCATGTTGAGAGTAGATGAAATAATTGCTTGTTGGTCATATGTGTTTAAAAACAGCACACAAAGCGAAAAACATAAAATTAAGCATTTTTATGCAACTTGCATAACACGGCAGGGACACACTCTTATTGAATAGTAGGGGCCTAACCTGCTGTGTTGTTGAAATCAACAGTGCTGATTTCACTACCACCAAAACTTTCGACTCCGTATGAAGGAGCTGGAGTCGGTGGCTCCTCGTCTTCCTCGACAGTGCTG